TAAGAGTCTTTACTCTGCATGATTTACACCTCATTATTAGTGAGATAAAGGTGAGGCTGAAAGCAAGAGAATACTTTACCTTAAAACATTTTAAAAAGGAAAAATTACAAAAAAAAAGAGAAGACAGAGGCAGAGAGACAGAGACAGCGAGAAAGCTAAAGGGGCTCCCTACCACTCGAGTTTGTGGGATGGAGGCTGAATTATCAGTAGAAAATCTTCATTTTTCTTTTTTCTCTGAAATCACTAGTTCTCGGGAGCCATGGAGGAGTCTTCTTCTGAAGGCCTGCCCCTTGCCTCTCCACTCAAGTTTGTGGACTGGAGGCTGAATTATCAGTAGAAAATCGTCATTTCTCTTTTTTTCCCTGTAATCATTAGTTCTCAGGAGCCATGGAGGAATCTCCAGCCTATCAAAAGTTTAATGTATTTTTTTTAGAGAGTTTTTTGCTATAGGGCATGTGCACTATCAGAGAGAGACAGAGAGACAGAAAGTGAGAAACCACCCCCCAGGGGGCATGGCAATGCCGCAATCCCTTCTCCTCTGTTCTCCTCTGGGGATCTTGGGCACGCACGCACACGTGCCCGGCGTGAGTTTTAAGCCACCGAGTCTGGGACGCGAACCGCAGTCGACTACATAGGAGTCCAGTGACATAACCATTACGCTAACTACTGGTCCTGAAAAGTTTAATGTATTAAAAGTTCTATTAGACTCTAGAAAACTACCATTCCTTTATAGATAAAATGAAAAACAGTTCAGTTAGTTCAATGAAACTATCAAGATCTATGGGCTCTAAAGCTAAATCTGGGTTTTGCTTCTTCTAGACATATATATTTGGGGATAATGTAAAATAGGGATGATAATAATAGTTATAATGGCCTGATAAGGTTGTTATGTTAAGTGAGTTAATATGTATAAGATATTTAAAACATTGTTAGCACATAGTACATATTCAATATGTTAATTATTATTATTTGTTTTTCAGTTTATTCTGTGAGAGACAGAGACAGATATCCCCAACAGGGTCCACACACTATGATTCACCCCCCAGCCTCAGCCAGCCCAGATCATGGGTGTGCTCTGTGCCCAGGGAGGCCCCAGGATGTAAACCCAGGACCCTCCCATATTTGAGTCCAACATTACAGAGCATTGTGTTAGTGCTGCACCACTGCCTGGTCCTAAGTCATTAGCATGAATGTTACTATGCACCAAATGTTATGTGAGAGTCAGAAATAAGATCATGTTCTAGCCTGGGAGAGGGCTTTCATTTTATTTTGTTTTTAAATGACTATTCTCTTCAGCCATATATAATATGAAATTTAATGAAACTGTAAAATGTACTTACTAACTCTCCTGACTTCTTATGAAATACAGATAAATTTCTATGGCATGACATGTTCTCCTCTTTTTTCTTCCTAGGTTTTTCAGAGCCTTGAAGACCACCATTTGGAAGTGGTAGCTTTTTTCAGGGAAAATGGTTTCCATGGTCTTCTTGCCCATGACTCTGAGTATGCACTCTACAATATTCCCTCTTACTACAGTTCCCATGCTCTGAAGCTGAGCTGGAATGGGAAAAACCTCACTACCAACCAGTTCCTGATGCAGGAGGTGGCCAAGCAGCTGGGTCTGAAGCGGATGAATTTTCCCATATTTGCTGCACTGCTAGGTAGGTAGTCCAAAGGAAAGATTTCAATGATTGATAAAGTTTCCTCTTCTAGTTAAGAGATGAAGACAAGAGTGATTTAACTGGTCGTTTTTGGATTTGTTTTTTCTACGTCCTCATGCCAAACACTATGCTGGGGAGAACCTAGTAGGCTTTGGGGCTTCTTAGACATACTAAAACTCACCATTTTTGTCTTATGAATTGCTAGGAGATATTCCAGAATATTATTTTGATTCTTATAAGAGTTTTTCTTCTGTTACATTTTATAACCATAGTACCATTCAGAGTACTATCTTATGCCAGACATTTTTCTAGCCCTAAACAACTTTGTTTTCTCACTTTAGCATTTCTTCCCCAGTGTCTAAATTTAGATCGGGAACACAAATTATTTATTATATTTTTCTCTTTGTTTCTCTTGCGTTAACATGTTATTATGAAAATTTCCAAACATATGACAAAATTGAAAGAATTTTGCTGTGAAAACCCTATATCTACCACCTATATTCTGCAATTAACATTTTATTGTACTGCCTTTATTATGTATTCATTCATCTATCTTTTAAAGATAAACTTCAAAGTAAATTCCAGAGAGTTGATTATATTTTGAGTTGGTTTTCCAAGTACCACAAATATGAAGATTAATATTTTGTCTCTGGCGTGATTTCTGCTCTAGGCCTTGGGCAAGTCACTGAAGTCATATTTCCAAGGTTTCATTTTCCTCCTCTGTGAGATAAGAATAATAATACCTCATGATATTACTTTTTAAAGTTTCTTTTTTTCATTCTTGGAGGAGCAAGTAAAACAAAGATGCCAACTAGCAGAGTCTTGATGCAGTAATCCATCCCCAGCCTCAGCCAGCCCCAGATCAAGAGCACACCCATGCCCAACATACATCTTTGGATGTGAATCCAGAACTTTCCCATGTGTTTCAGCCACAAAATATGATTTTTTCCCCCTGCTCCTCTATCTGGCCTCCTTTGTGGGTGTTATTGATAAGATTAAATGAAATGAGACAAATGAAATGCCCACCATTTATTAGACAGTTATCAGTGATTTCTGTCACAAAAGACAGCATTACTAGATGGTAGGTAATCACATGGGCTTTGGAGTCAGACAGTTCTACCTCCTTCTCCTGGTATGGACACTTATTAACTGGGGTACCTAGGGCCAAGTCATCAAACTTGTCCAAACCTCAGTTTCCCTGTCTATAAATTGAAGATAACCATACCACCATGCATGATCATTTAAAAAGATGATCCATAATAAACAGGATACATCATAGTACTTAACATATAGCTACTGTAATTCTTACATTAAAAATACAGGCCTGGGTGAATTATTTGATACCAACCAGTTCCTGATGCAGGAGGTGGCCAAGCAGCTGGGTCTGAAGCGGATGAATTTTCCCATATTTGCTGCACTGCTAGGTAGGTAGTCCAAAGGAAAGATTTCAATGATTGATAAAGTTTCCTCTTCTAGTTAAGAGATGAAGACAAGAGTGATTTAACTGGTCGTTTTTGGATTTGTTTTTTCTACGTCCTCATGCCAAACACTATGCTGGGGAGAACCTAGTAGGCTTTGGGGCTTCTTAGACATACTAAAACTCACCATTTTTGTCTTATGAATTGCTAGGAGATATTCCAGAATATTATTTTGATTCTTATAAGAGTTTTTCTTCTGTTACATTTTATAACCATAGTACCATTCAGAGTACTATCTTATGCCAGACATTTTTCTAGCCCTAAACAACTTTGTTTTCTCACTTTAGCATTTCTTCCCCAGTGTCTAAATTTAGATCGGGAACACAAATTATTTATTATATTTTTCTCTTTGTTTCTCTTGCGTTAACATGTTATTATGAAAATTTCCAAACATATGACAAAATTGAAAGAATTTTGCTGTGAAAACCCTATATCTACCACCTATATTCTGCAATTAACATTTTATTGTACTGCCTTTATTATGTATTCATTCATCTATCTTTTAAAGATAAACTTCAAAGTAAATTCCAGAGAGTTGATTATATTTTGAGTTGGTTTTCCAAGTACCACAAATATGAAGATTAATATTTTGTCTCTGGCGTGATTTCTGCTCTAGGCCTTGGGCAAGTCACTGAAGTCATATTTCCAAGGTTTCATTTTCCTCCTCTGTGAGATAAGAATAATAATACCTCATGATATTACTTTTTAAAGTTTCTTTTTTTCATTCTTGGAGGAGCAAGTAAAACAAAGATGCCAACTAGCAGAGTCTTGATGCAGTAATCCATCCCCAGCCTCAGCCAGCCCCAGATCAAGAGCACACCCATGCCCAACATACATCTTTGGATGTGAATCCAGAACTTTCCCATGTGTTTCAGCCACAAAATATGATTTTTTCCCCCTGCTCCTCTATCTGGCCTCCTTTGTGGGTGTTATTGATAATATTAAATGAAATGAGACAAATGAAATGCCCACCATTTATTAGATAGTTATCAGTGATTTCTGTCACAAAAGACAGCATTACTAGATGGTAGGTAATCACATGGGCTTTGGAGTCAGACAGTTCTACCTCCTTCTCCTGGTATGGACACTTATTAACTGGGGTACCTAGGGCCAAGTCATCAAACTTGTCCAAACCTCAGTTTCCCTGTCTATAAATTGAAGATAACCATACCACCATGCATGATCATTTAAAAAGATGATCCATAATAAACAGGATACATCATAGTACTTAATATATATCTACTGTAATTCTTACATTAAAAATACAGGCCTGGGTGAATTATTTGATTATTTTCTCTCCCAGGCCCTTTCATAGTCCGGACTTTCAAAGAAAACATTTGTATAGTCAATAAATGACTAATGTACTTCATAGGTAACCACATTCTCCCAGATGAGGACCTGGCTGCTTTTCATTGGATTTTCTTGGGACCAGAACATCCTCTTGCATCACTTAAGGTAAGGACCTCATTTCCTGCCTATTCATATTAAGGGATATCAGATTTTGAGGGACTGGTTATCTTTCATTAGATTTTAAATATTTCACATACTTACAGATAAAACATTATGATCAATACTCTTAGTATCTTAAGAACTCATACAAATCTATGAAGACAAATACTGATAATAAATAAAGGACAGAAGCAGAAACTTTAAAAAAGAGAAAATACAGTGGGCAATAATATGACTATTCAATCTCACTAGTGATCAGACATGTAAAATAAATGAGCAGTGTGATTTTTTTTTAAAACTTAACTGTTTAATTCTACTGAAAAATTAAACTAGCTATTGCTATCAAGGCTATGGCGAGATTGATACCCTCATGCACTTCTCAGGTTAGTATAAATTGGCTATTGTATTATATTTTCCTAGTTCTCTCACTCTCCTACATGACTATTTGTACTTTCTCCTCTCTCTTCAACCCTCTAATATTTCTTCCTCATTTTCTCACTCTCGATTCATGACCTCACTTTCTATTTCACTGAGAAAATGGAAGCAATGAGAAGAGAATTTTCATAAGCTCCTACCTCTATTCATTTCACCTTTATATATATATATATATATCTATGATGCTCTGCCTGCCTTCTATTGACTATTGGTAGATGACCTTTCTGTGTTCCTATTTAAGGCCAACCCCTCCAGTTACACTAGATCCCATCCCCTCTTGCTAACTAAGGGTATCTAACAGCTCTCTCCACTCATTCCCTGATATCATCAATTTCCCTCTCTTTATTTGCTCTTTGCCCTTGGATATATAAGCATGCATGCATCTTTTTTTTTTTTGAGAGGTTTTTCGCTATAGGGCACGTGCACTCGCCAGACAGATAGAGAGAGACATAGAGACAGAAAGCGAGAAATCACCCCCCAGGGAGGATGGTCACGCCACAATCCCTTCTCCTCCATTCTCCTCTCGAGATCTTGGGCACGCACACACACGCGCCCAGCGTGAGTTTTAAGCCACCGGGCCTGGGACATGAACTGTGGTCGACTACATGGACATAGCCATTACGCTAACTTCTGGTTCCCTACATGCATGCCTCCTAAAAAATAAAACAAAAACCCATTCTTGACCTCACTTGGGTAGGGTTCTCCAGAGAAACAGAAGCAAGAAGATGATAGATAGATAGATAGATAGATAGATAGATAGATAGATAGATAGATAGATATAGATAGATAGATAGATAGATAGATAGATAGATGGAGAGGATTTATCATATGAATAATATCACACTATCACAAGGTGGAAAAGTCACACAGTAGGCTGTCCATAAACTGGAGAAATAGATGGAAGTCTCAGAAGTAGGGAAGCACTAGTACAACACACAGACTAAGGCTTAAGACCTGAGCACCTTTGGGGAGGCCGCCAAACAGGTCCAGAATCCAAAGTTAAATAACCTGGGAGTCTGTCTGGCTGGAGGCAAATGGGGGCCAAGTGCCAGTAGGAATGGAACACAGCCAAGCACCAAGTCATGAAACAAGTATAGAGTGGGCAGATATGTAGGCAGCAGGTAGGAAACACCCAGCATGTTCTAGAAGGAAGGGTCAAGAGAGGAAGCAGAATCTCCCACTTCCTCTGTTTAGCAGAGGAGTGCTCCTACTGATTGGATGGTACCTGCCTACATTGAAAGTGGGTAGTTTTCTCTCAGTCCACTGACTCAAATGCCAATCTTGCCTGGCAACTCTAACAGATACACCCAGGAACAATGCTTCATCAACTATTTAAGCATCCCTCAATCCAGTCAAGTTGACACTGAATTATCTGTCACAAGTCTATCCTTTGTCAACTTGGCACACAAAAGCATCTTTTTAGACCATACTTAATATTCAAGTAAAGACAATAACAAAGTCATCATTTTACCTGATATGATACACCTATTCTGCATACAACCAAAAATGCACTAATCCCATAACTTAAATACTGTGATGTAAAATTAACCATACTGATAGAAAGTTAATGAATCTCATTTTGTGATTAATGAGAGGAAATAAAATAAAGATATTTGCTTAATATATGTGCACCAATGTGTTCTTAACAAAATATGGAGGAAATTCTCATGATAAATTCTGTTAACCTTGCCCTTGTTTCTGTAACTGGTCATGTGGTCATAACTGGTATTTATAAATACCTTTTTATACTACCCATTTTAGCTTTTCAGCAAGCACTTCAGTTGGTTATGGTTCTTTACCTGGCAGGATAACCAAAACCTTCATTTCTGAAGGGTCTGGGCCATTTGCAGTCTTGGATGGATTGTGTTATTGTAGTTTCTCACTGACCAAAATATGGGGCATGATGGTATTAAGAGACTCCCCAAGGGATCTCTGGTGTTCCAGACAAAGTCTTACCTCTATTGTGGAATAATAGTTCAATTTTCCCATGTAGTCTAGATCAGTCACCCCAAACAACACTGTCTTTCCTTTCTTAGCCTGTTGGCTTGGAGTCATGAGCACAAAGTAGCAGCAGCAGTAGCAGCCCAGTATCAGTCTTTATTTCTATTTCAATGGAATCCATTTCTCCTGGTGGAAGCATTCTTCACTCTGGAACTAAGACTTTTAGGCTAGCTGATCATAATATCATGGGTATAGGAGCAGAAATTTTGCTAGTGGTGTGTGGTGCCACTCCCATTTCTGTGCCTTGATTTTTGGATCTGAATCCTGGCTATGGAAGCAAAAGTACCATATATTGAGCATTGGGTCAGAGGATATACAGCATTCTGTTAACCTTGCCCTAGGCATACAAAGTATTATCACCTAGCTGGTGCTATTGGATTGTCAGAATTCTTAAGTCATGATGCATTTTTGCATAGAAAAGAAAAAAATACATCATGACTTTTGTGACAACCCAATATAACAGACTTCAAAAAGTCATTCTTCTGGGACCAGCAGTTAGCATAATGGCTATGTTGCTAGACTCCCATGTAGTCAACCACAGGGTGAGTCCCGGATCCGGTGGCTTAAACTCGCTCCGGGCGCATGTGCATGCATGCTAAAGATCCCAAGAGGAGAATGAAGGAGAAGGGATTGCAGTGTGACCATCCACCCAGGGGGGTGATTTCTTGCTTTCTGTCTCTCTGTCTCTCTCTGTCTTTCTGGAGAATGCACGCACCCTATAGCAAAAACCTCTCCAAAAAAAGAAAAAAAAAAGTCATTCTGCTTCTAGCCCTACACCCAGCAAAAAGCCGGAATTCATGTGTATCTGAGGTGGGCCTGGCCCTGCCTCTTTAACCAGAAAGCCTCTGCCCCAAACCCCTCCTTTCAGTCCCACACTCAGGTAGGGTGGTCTCTGTCTTCTTTCTGTCTCTGTCTTTCTCTCTCCCTCTTCATTTCTCTAGAAATTTTTCTCTTATATATAAGTATGTGTGTTTTTAAAAAAATATGTAGGTACTGTCTCTTGTCTCTGACCTCTCATTTCTCTTGCTAATTTCAGAATTCATGTGCTTGTGAGGTGGGTCTAGCCCTGCCCTTTTTGCACAGTGTACTTTGTGCCATGTGGTTCTCATTTTTTGGCCTTTTTTAATTTTTTAAATAAAATGTTTTTTTTTCCCTTTTCAGTGTTTATTTTTGTTGTTGTTGTGTTGTGTTTTGTTTTTCTCTTTTTCCCTTTGTTTCCTTTTTATTACCTGACTTTCTCACCTTGCTTCTCACCTTGCATACATTAAGTGTCTAGGCAGATCTAGGTGCACAGTAGCAACATATCTGAATACTTTAAGCCCCACAGCACAGCCCAGGCACCTCTTTTGCCTTGAAACTGTGAGGCCTTTGTAGTATCTAGTTCCATTGACACAAGTTCAGGTTGCTTGGTGAGATCAGGGAAACAGAACTACAGAAAAATTACAGTCCATCTCCTTCCACACATCTCTAACACTCAGAATTAACTCCAAGAAGATAGGAAGTAACATAATCCATCAGATGACCAGAAACCACCACCCAGAGGCACAAGAAATATGGGAAGTCAAGAAAATATCTTTCCTCCAAGGAGAAAGAACAGCCCTTCATCATCCACAGACAGTACAATGGAACTCGTAGAAATGTCAGATAAAGAATTTAGGATATTCATAGTAACAAAGTTAGCAGAAATGCAAGAGAAGAGAGACAAAAAAAAAAAAAAACCCTCCAGAAAATTCAAGAGACAAGTTCCAGAAGGTGAGGAAGTTCTTCCACGATCTGAAAGAGGAAATGCACACCATAAAAAAGAATCAAATGGAACTCTTAGAGATGAAGGCTGTAATATAAGAAATCAAAACCTCCCTTGAAAGTATGAAAAAGCAGATTAGATTATGCAGAAGATCGAATCTCAGATGTATAAGGTAGAACCTCTGACTTACAAAAATAAACACCAAAAAGACTGAGAACATAACCCAAAAAATAAGAATAATATACGAGTAATACTAGATGCCATTAGACGCCAAAACATCCAGATCATCAGTATCCCAGAAGGTAAAGAAATAATAAGGGTATTGATAATCTATTCCATGAAATCTTGGAAGAAAACTTTCCAGACCTAGAGAGGCATTCAAATATCCAGACCCAAGAAATACAAAGGACCCCACATAGAATCAACCCAAGAAAATCTTCTCCAAGGCATATCATAGCCAGATTGACCAAAACCACAGGCAGAGACAAGATGCTAAAATTGGCAAAAGAAAAATGTCAAGTTACTTTCAAAGGATATCCCATCAGGTTAACATTGGACCTCACGTCACAAACAATGCAATCAAGGAAAGAATGTGAAAATATATTCAGACTCTGTAGCCAAAATATTTTAATTTAAATTAAGTGTTAAGTGAAAAACAATTTCAACCAAAAAGACTGTATCTGGCAAGGTTATCCTTCATGCAGGAAGAAAAAGTAAAAACATTCTCAGATAAACAAAACCTGAAAGAATTTACCAACACCGGACAAGCTCTCCAAAGAAGTTCTGAAGGGAGTACTATACCAGGAAATCTAAAGACAGACAGACA